TTCACATTTCAAATAAACGGGGAAAGAATGCAAAATATATACCCAAATCACTGTGTTAGAAAATTAACTATCCTTAACAGAAAAAAATTTAAAGTTAGATTTTGCTTCATGTTATACCTACAAATAAATTCCTGATAGAGTAGTATCGCAATGATAAATCCACAAGATAAAGAAATACTGGAACCTGGCTGGGCGCGGTGGCTCACGCCTGTAATCCCAGCACTTTGGGAGGCTGAGGCCCGGAGATCACGAGGTCAAGAGATCGAGACCATCCTGGCCAACACGTTGAAATCCCGTATCTACTAAAAATACAAAAACAAAATTAGCCAGGCGTGGTGGCACGCGCCTGTTGTCCCAGCTACTCAGGAGGCTGAGGCGGAAGAATCGCTTGAACCCAGGAGTCGGAGGCTGCAGTGAGCCGAGACTGCACCACTGTACTCCAGCCTGGTGACAGAGCAAGACTCCGTCTCAAAAAAAAAAGAAATACAGGAACTTAAGTAAACCCAGGATCGTGAGGGCCTTGCAACATATGAGAAAACATTAATATCCAAAATACATAATTATAATTTAGTTAGAAAGACAACCTAGTTAAAACAGAAACAAAAGCAAAATCAAAACAGAAAAAACAAAAAAAGCTAATTCACAGAAGAGAAGCCTGAATGGCCAATACATATGAAAAGATGCTCAACCTCAACCAATAATCAAATAAATATAAAATTAAACAAAATACTTTATGAAACTGGCAAAAAGTAAAAAGAATAATACTTAGTGCTATTGAGAGTATGGGAAAACCAGCCCATCACAGCCTACTAGTGCAAATTATTGTTTTGGTACAATTAAGTATATATAAGGATATTTAATTTTTACACACACAGTCTTCCAACAGTTTGTAAAAGCAACATAATGGGAACAACTCCTATGTTGTCAATAGGGCAATGGTTACATCAATGTAGGATTTACGTATACGTATGGATATGTATAAATGACAACTCATCAAAGAGCAGAAAATTTTATGTTTGTATCTCATCTTTTTAAAATGTCTTTCTGTATGTTTCATACTGTACCAAATATGTAAGAACAAAGTACTTATAAATGACTTAAAAACAAGTAAACACGGCCAGGTGCAGTAGCTCACAACTGTAATCCCAGTACTTTGGGAAGTCAAGGCAGGTGGATCACGAAGTCAGGAGTTTGAGACCAGCCTGGCCAATAGGGTGAAACCCCACCTCCACTAAAAGTACAAAAATTAGCTTGGTGTGGTGGTGTGTGCCTGTAATCCCAGCTACTCGGGAGGCTGAGGCAGGGGAATCACTTGAACGTGGGAGGAATAGGTTGCAGTGAGCCAGGATTGTGCCATTGCCTGGGCAACAGAGTGAGACTCCGAATTATTTTTCACTGAGGGAAAGTATAGATCACTGTTATGAAACACTGTATATCTACAAAATTAACAATTCAATTATTAAAAATATAAATGCGCCTATATGCATTGAAAACAAGGCTAAAGAAAAATTTTTCATTTAAATGTAATTATAAATAATAATTTACGGTAGTATATGGAGAGAAAACACTGACAGAATGTGCAAAGTGCTGTTGCCTTTCAGAGTCAGGATCATAGGGCATGTATCTTTCTGTTTTATGTACTTTTGCAACTAACATTATTTATTTGGTCAGAAGAAATATTCCTTCAAGAGACTTCAAAGTCCTTTAACTTCTTGAAGAGCCATCTAAAAGTATGCTCATTAGTTTAATTGTTAATAACGAAAAATTAGAAACCACATAAATTTCTACCAAGAGGATAAATGTTATATGTAATAGCAATTTATATAATACAAATTAAGTCATTAAAAGTTTTGAGTAACGTATGTAAAAACATGAGATAAAAATCACAATACATATATGCATCTTAGTATGATCCTAAATTTGTAAAGATAAAAAAAGAAAACAGAAGAAATATGTACATCAAAATGGTAACAATAGTTACAGCTAAATGGTGTCATTAAAGGTAATTTTAAAATTCTTTGTACAATTAAAAATTTTAAAACTTTTTCTTGAGACTTATATACTATGAATTTCACCTTTCATCTGCTTTGTTTTTGTTTTTTAATTGGCCCCAATGTTGCAGCAGCATCTGTTTTAAGTGCACATGCCTGCGAGTCTGACCTCTGGGGGAGAGAAGACTGAATAGCTAATTCCAGTCACGCGGACACTGCATTCCTTTGTGACTGGCACCCCAATAAAACCTGGTTACCAAGGCTTGGTGGGCTTCCCTGGAGGACAGGACTTAGCATGTATTGCCACACAGCATATCAGTACTGAAGAATTAAAGGCAACCCCTCTCCCTGTGGGACTTCCCAGGACAGGGACACCTAGAATTTTGTGTCTGGTTTGTCCTAGACTTCATCCTAAATGCTTTGTTGACTTTAGCCTATATCCTATTGTTGTAAAATCCTGTAACTATAACAAGCTTTTCTGAGTCTTATGAGCCTTGGCCCAATCATCAAACCTGAGGGTAGTCCTGGGGTTCCCCAATACAACATTATTCACTGAAATAAGGCTCAGTAAAGTCAGTCTGAGCTGGAACAGTGCCTAACATCTACAATCCTGGCACTTAGAGGCTGAGGGTGGGAGGATTGCTTGAGCCTAGGAATTCAAGACCAGCCTAGGCAACATGGCAAAACCCCGTCTGTTAAAAAAAAATTACAAAAACTAGCTAGGCGTGGTGGCTGCACATCTGTAGTCCCAGCTACTTAAGAGGCTGAGGTGGAAGAATCATGAGCCTGAGAGGATAAGGAGGCAGCGAACTGTGATCAAGCCACTGCACTTCAGCTTAGGCAACAGAGTGAGACCCTGTCTCCAAAAACTAAAAAAAAAAAAAAGTCTGAAGACATACAGAAGTATCTTTGTGATGAGATTTATATCAGGCCAATCTCAGCATATTTCAACAACATAAGAAAAAAAATGGAAAATACATTCTTTCAGGATATGCTCAATGAACAAGTTTACCATGGCTCCATTGCATTCAAGATTATTAAAACGTCAAACTTACCAATGGGGACGAATGGTGCTTCTTTAACTTTCCGAATAAGTTTGGATCCCTGATCTTCATCATATGAAGAAAGGGAAACATCTGGGTCTGCTGACATAGTGGTTGCTTGAAGAATCTCCCTGAGAATTTTCTATGAGGTTCTGTAATTAAAAGCATCTGAACATTATTAAATATCGGGATGTATTTAAAATAAGGGCCTCAAGCACAGTGTAAGTATAGGAATCTCTGATTAGTATCAGTTACAATAAACTTAAAAGTCTATGTCCATCCCATCACCCATATAAAATCTTACTTTCACTTCTGGGTTTTTCATGTGCATCATGCTCCCTTTGATAACAGTACCTTTCATTCAACACCTTTCTACTCAAGGGGAGTCAGTGGCAGTCAAGGTCCCCAAAGAAAATGCAACTCCACAGGTAGGAGGTGGTGTGCTTAGTTTAGAAAGTGAATTCATCCCTGTAAGCCCCACCTTCATTGAGAATACTCAACCCTGTCATCTGACATAGAAGAAAATTTTAGCTAAATAAGAGAAAATTTAGATTACACTTAGACTTTCTTTTTTTGTACTCCATTACTTCTTAACTGAATAAGCTCCTGATTACTGAACTTTATTCTATATATGGTTCAATAAGCTCAAGGTTCAAGATGCTCACTGTGTATGTGAATAATACAACATAAACACTAAAATAATTAATATGGTTCAAAAATTAGATTTTTTTTAAAAAAGAGAAATCATGTAATCGTCCAACAGGTTCACCTTGCCCACTGGCTAGACAGAGTGGATTTACCAAGACTGGGAACTGCAATAGAGAAAGAGCAATTCACCCAGAGCCAGCTATGTGGGAGACCAAGGTTTTTATTATTACTCAAATCAATCTCTTGGAGCATTCGAGGATTAGTTTTTAAGAATAACTTGGTGGGTAGGGGATGGCCAGTGAATAGAGTGCTGATTGGTTGGGACGCAGATGAAATGGGAAGTTGAAGCTGTCCTCTTGTGCTGAGTCAGTTCTTGGGTCAGGGCCACAGATCAGGTGAGCCAGTTTATTGATCCGGTGGTGCAGCTGCTCCACCAAGCGCAGGGTCTGCAAAATATCTCAAGCTCTGATCTTAGGAGCCGTTTAGGGAGGGGCAGCATCTTGTAGCCTCCAGCTGCATGACTCCTTCACCATACTTTCTCATCTGTGGCTAATTCCAGGGATAGTTTTGGGAAAGGGCTGTGACCATCTTTGCTTTTTTTATTTTTATTTTATGAGACAGGGTCTCACTCTGTCGTCCAGGCTGGAGTACAATCTCCATCTTGGCTCACTGCAACCTCTGCCTCCCAGGTCTGAGTGATTCATGCCCCAGCCGAAAAGCTGGGATAACAGCCGTGCACCTCCATGGCCAGATAATTTTCTTTGTATTTTTTCCCATGTTGGCCAGGCTGGTCTTCAACTCCTGGCCCCAAGTGATCTGCCTCCCAAAGTGCTAGGATTATAGAGGTGAGCCACCACACCCGGCTCTGTCTTTTTTGGCTAGATCAGATATCTTTCACTGTCTCAGTTATAATTTTGCAATGGTGGTTTCAGTCACAGTGTGATTGTCAATAGCATAACACAGACAAGGACTGAATTCAGAGAGAGTGATGATGTGTTTTAGCTGAAGGAAGTTTGGCAAGTTTCACAGAGAAACACGTAAAACTGGCTTTGTGTTATAAGACTGGCTTTTTCTTGTAATTACCTCACATCTGGTTGACTAATTCTCTAACAGGTCAATGGAGCAAAAGTTTTTGTTTTTGTTTTTGTTTTTTTCTCCTTTCAGGAGGGAGGGGGTTAACCGTCTCTTTCTTGTATATAAATGAAGACCAGAAGAAAATCTATTTCTCCATTTTTCATCTATGATATGGCTAGGGCATTTGACCTGGGTTTCGGAAAGTAGCTCTGCAGTTAAGAATTAGGGTGTGGGGAACAAAATGGTCATTATTTGCTTGAAGTGAAAGACAATAATCTGTGATCACAATACCTATGTGTACATTTCAGAATAAAATTAATAAGGATGAATATTTTAAAATCAATACTTGTCAGTTGTTTTTCTGTATCCAAATATTATAAATTATATAATTCCCATATAGTACCTGTCTAAAATATTCTCTGAATACAAAATTTTGATAACTGTCTTTCCAATTACCACGTAGAAGTTTCCAAAGTATTCATGGTTTATAGCCACCTGAATTGAAAACGGTTAAGTATTGGGAACAATAATTACGAATCATATAATCTGAGAGTAACAAATCAGAAGAGCCTTATTTTGCAGGTGGGGAAAGGGTTGTGAGAGGGTTATAGGAATTGCTCCACACCAGGAATAAATGTCTGGTGGGGTAGGATTAGAATCCAGCTCTCCTGAATTAGAGTCCTGGGTTCTTTTATATTGCCAAAGCATCAATCTTATGATGCTGATGTAAATTAGATTAAATTTGCAAATAAGAGTTCAGATTAGAAAATGTAAAAATCCATTACTCAACAGAAGCCCATGTTGTTCTTTGAATTACAGAAAAGTAAAAACGTAAGTCATGCCTAAGTTACATGGAATCTTCTTCTGCAGTGACTTAAGTCATCTAACAATTGCAGCTGTGATTTGAAGACTTTTCACTACAGCACTGCGAGACTGTCCTTTGCTACCGTTTCTCATTCACCCAGTCATTGCTCCAGATCTCTGTCAGAAAGTTGAACAGACGCTAAAAAAGGCACCAGTAATCAGATATTCAGAGTCACTTAGGAGAGCATAAATTGTTCTGTCCGCTCCGTAAGACACGAATGAAGAACTCTCCAAAGGGAACCTAAAAGAGGCATAAGGGAAGATGAGCCGCCCGGCATCAGGAGATGTAACAGGCTGAAGGAAGGATCTTTCTTCACATTTTGTCACGAGAACTACCACCTAAAACAACGCTGGCTTCAAACTTTGATTTTGCATCAGTCGCCCATCAGCTTGTTTAAAACGACTGCCAAGACCCCAGCATGGAGACCTGGATCCAGGTGGTCTGCGGCAGAGCCCGAGGAATCCTTAGGAAGCCCCTCCAAGCGACTCTGGCGCACAGAGGGAGCCCCCAGAACACAGGACTCCAAATGTGTGTCGCGCTGGAGCTCCGACCTGTCCGAACTTTCCACCCAGAGCTCTCACTCGAAGGCGCCTTCGCACTTCCGGAAGCGGAGACCCGGGCCGCGGGTCCGTCCCACCGGGAATGAAAGCGGAGCGTCTTCGCTCCTCCACACGGGCCGCTCCCAGCTCTGCCCAGCGCAGGACTGCGTGTCTTCTGCCACTGGCCGACTCCGCAGGAGGAAAACGCAATTCGGTCAGGGACGCGCTACCCGGGGCTCCGGCCTCGCCGCCTCCCGGGGGAGGAAACGCCAGGGCGGACGGGACGGTCCTCCGCTCGCGGGCCCTCCCCTCGCCTGCCGACGTCCTCGCCGCCTCCGCTCCCGTGACCTTGCCGGGTCTCCGTGACCCGGGCCCCGCTCTCCCACCCCGCCGCGCCCCAAGCCCCGCGCCTGGGCCCGGACCGGCCCACACCCGCCCTCGCCCCCGTCTCTCATCACCGCCCATCCGCGAGTCTTCCCCGCTCAGCAGCGACTCACTCCACAGCGTCTGCTCCCAGTCAGTCCTCCGTGTCCCCGCCCGCGAAGGACCCAGGCCTCGGCTCCCGACCCCTCGCCCCAGCAGCTCCACCTCTCCTCCCCCACCTCCCTCATCGCAGGCAGGTCGCCCAGCCCCGACCCCCAGAGCCCCTTCGGCCCGGCCAAGCGCAGCCCTACGTCTTCCCGCCCGCGGCCCCGCCACGCTTACCCAGAACGAGGCCGCCTCTCCCACGCCAACCGGCGTCTGAGTCCTGCATGCGCCCAGTCCCGCGGCTTCGCCCCACCCACAGCCGTCCCAGCCAATCGAAGGCCAGCAGCCGCAGGACGGCGCGTGCGCATGCGCCGTGGGCGGGGCGGCCCAGAGCGGGTCCCGGATTGGCTGGGGCGGTGCGGTGCGCCCCGCCCCCGCCCCCTGCCGGCGGCGATCCACGTGAGAGCTCGGCGCGCAGGGTAGGTGCCCGGGTTTCGCGGGCGCTTGAGGGGCCTTGGCTCCTGGCCCCGGGACACCGCAGCTGTCGCCTGCCCTTTTCCGTCGGGCAGCGGGGGCGAGCGCCGTGGCCGAGCGCTGGACGCCTGCGGAGCCTCACGGACCGGGAAGGGAGGCGGGCGCGGGGCTTCGGCCGCTCGGTTACGAGCTGCCGACAGACCCGGAAGGAACAGAGCCGATTTCCGCCGCAGGTTGCAGGGAGGAAGGCGGCGTAACTCGCCAGACGACTCGGAACTAGCAGCACAGGCTTTTCTGGCGCCGGAATACGGCCGGCGCACGTAGAAGCCGAAAGCCGAAGCGTTTCGCGGTCTTTAGCCGCCGTAGGGTCGGGGCAGAGCCCTGGAAAGTCTAAAGTGGGTCCTGGAACGAGGTGCGCGGCGACGCCGCCGTCGTGTTGACTGAACTGCGCGCCGGGAAGGGCTGGGCGGGGTCTCACGGCCTCGTCCCTGCGTTCCGGCCTTTCTCCGGGGCGCCGCCTCTGCGTCCCTCGGGTCTGACTCCCACGCGCACCCGCGAGGCGCTCAGGTCGCTCCGGGCTGCTCCGGCGGCTGCTGCAGGCGCCGGGCCCCGGGACAGCTGCGGGCTCCACCCGGCCCGCTCCCAGGGCGGCTGTGGGCCGTGCGCGCGCGGTCGGGTGCCTCGTGGGGCCGGTCCCGGAGCTTACACGGTAGTCGGAGGCAGCCAGTACCTGCAAGCATGGGGTCGCGGGGACTACGACCTCACCCAGGCCGCGCGACCCTTCTCTCAGGAACGGGGCGTCAGCGGCCCCGGGGGACAGCGAGCCTCCGGGGACAGGGTTCCTAATGTGTTGGCCGAGTAAATAAGCAGGAACAACCCGGCGAATTGGCATGTCGGCGAAAAGAGTCACTCTAGGGTATTTGAAGAGATTTATTCGGAACCAAATGCGAGTGACCACGGCCGCGACACAGCCCTCGGGAGGTGCTGAGAACACGTGCCCAAGGCGGTCGAGGCGCAGCTTGGGTTTATACACTTTAGAGACGCGTGAGACATCAACCAAAGGCATTTAAGAAATACATTGGTTTGGTCCAGAAACACAGGATAACTCAAACGCCAGGGGGAGTGGGGGGTTCCAGTCTATAGGTAAATGTAAAAGTTTTCTGGTTGATAATTGGTTGAATTTGGCTAAAGACCTAGGATGAATAGAAAGGGGATGTTCAGGTTAAGATAAAAGATTGTGGAGACCAAGGTTCTTTTGAAGTCTTATAGTGGCTGCCCTTTGAGACAATAGATGACAAATGTTTCCTATTCAGATCTTTCTTTAAAGGGTGCTAGACTTTTAATCTCTTTAGGATTGGGAGGGCCTGGAAGAGAAAGATCCAGCTGCTATGTTAATAGAGTTTTTTTTTTTGTTGTTTTGTTTTTTTTTTTGCTGAGCTGTAGTGCAGTGGAGCAATCTCTGCTCACTGGAACCTCTGCTTCCTGGGTTCAAGCGATTCTCCTGCCTCAGCCTGCTGAGTAGTTGGGATTGCGGGCACCCATCACGATGCCCAGCTAATTTTTTGTATTTTTAGTAGAGGCAGGGTTTCGCCATGTTGGTCAAGCTGGTCTGGAACTCCTGACCTCGTGATTCGCCTGCCTTGGCCTCCCAAAGTGCTGGATTACCGGTGTGAGCCACCGTGCCCAGCCCAATAGACATTCTTTACAGATGTGAATTTTCCTCCACAAAGACAGCTTTGCGTGACCATTTCAAGATATGGCAAAGAGGCCGGGCGCGGTGGCTCAAGCCTGTAATCCCAGCACTTTGGGAGGCCGAGGTGGGTGGATCACGACGTCAAGAGATCGAGACCATCCTGGTCAACATGGTGAAACCCCGTCTCTACTAAAAATACAAAAAATTAGCTGGGCATGGTGGTGCGTGCCTGTAATCCCAGCTACTCAGGAGGCTGAGGCAGGAGAATTGCCTGAACCCAGGAGGCGGAGGTTGCGGTGAGGCGAGATCGCGCCATTGCACTCCAGCCTGGGTAACAAGAGTGAAACTCCGTCTCAAAAAATAAATAAATAAATAAATAAATAAAAGATATGGCAAAGAAACATGTTTTGGGGTAAAATATTTTTATTTTCTTCTTTGTCTCGTAATGTTATGCCAGAGTCAAGTTGGAAAGTAAGTCACAATACATAGGGTTAAATAAAACCCATCTGATGAGAATTTGTGGTTTGTAGGGCATAACTCCCAAGACCCTTTAGATAGGAATTTGGGCAAGATAAAAAATCAGAGCTTAGTCCTCAGATGCAAAGCATCTACAACTGCACTGGGAAGAAATCTGGGACTAAATTAGAGGCTCTTGATACAACCACAAAACAAGGCAGACTACCAAGTTCTCCTTCATACAGATAGGAACCAAATGTCATGGGGCTCAGGATTTTGAAAATCATTCGTCTATTGTAAGTAGAATTTTCAGTGCCGCAAAAGAAATAGCACTCGAAGATAAATCCTCTCAGCAAGCAGTTTACTTCTATAGAAGGGTGTGGCTCACGAATGGAGCAATGGTGACTGCACGTTTGGACAAGGGAGGAAAAGGGGTATTTATTCCTGACAGAGGTTGCCCTACTGCTGTGTCATCCCCCTATTGGCTATAGAAACTCAATAATGGTAAATGAAGAAAGATGTAAATGCTGCAATAACTGGAGAGTTTAAAAGATAAGTAGAGACAGTCAGGAACTTCTTTAGGAGGAACCCCACTGCCTTCAACACGAAGGTCAACCAGAAGTCATTAGTCTCTTGATTCTGTAAATGCAAAGGCTAGCAGCAGCAGTGACCAAAGCATATTCACCCTGAAGGGAATGTAAATGC